CTGTTGTGGTTGAGGAGGTTGAGCTGGCTCCTGTTGTGATTGAGGGGGTCGAGCTGGTTGTTGTTGTTGTTGAGGGGATTGAGCTGGTTCCTGACAAGGTTGATGGGGTCGAGCTGGTTCCTGTAATGGTTAAGGGGGTCGAGCTGGTTCCTATTGTGGTTTTGGGGGTCGAACTGGTTCCTGTGGTGGTTGAGGGGATTGAGCTGGTTGTTTTCGTGGTTGTGGGGGTTGAGCTGGTTTTTGCTGTGGTTGAGGGGGTCGAGCTTGTTACTGTTGTGGTTGAGGAGGCTGAGCTGGTTCCTGTTGTGATTGAGGGGGTCGAGCTGGTTGTTGTTGTTGTTGAGGGGATTGAGCTGGTTCCTGACAAGGTTGATGGGGTCGAGCTGGTTCCTGTTGTGGTTTTGGGGGTCGAACTGGTTCCTGTGGTGGTTGAGGGGGTTGAGCTGGTTGTTTTCGTGATTGTGGGGGTTGAGCTGGTTGTTGCTGTGGTTGAGGGGGTTGAACTGGTTCCTGTCGTGGTTGAGGGGGTCGAGCTGGTTCCTGTCGTTGTTGAGGGGGTTGAGCTGGTTGTTGTTGTGGTTAAGGGGGTCGAGCTGGTTCCTGTAGTGGATGAGGGGGTCGAGCTGGTTCCTGTCATGGTTGAGGGGGTCGAGCTGGTTCCTGTCGTTGTTGAGGGGGTTGAGCTGGTTCCTGTTGTGGTTTTTGGGGTTGAGCTGGTTCCTGTGGTGGTTGAGGGAGTTGAGGTGGTTGTTGTCGTTGTTGAGGGTGTTGAGCTGGTTTCTGTCGTGGTTGATGGGGTCGAGCTGGTTCCTGTTGTGGTTTTGGGGGTCGAACTGGTTCCTGTGGTGGTTGAGGGGGTTGAGCTGGTTGTTTTCATGGTTGTGGGGGTTGAGCTGGTTGTTGCTGTGGTTGAGGGGGTCGAACTGGTTCCTGTGGTGGTTGAGGGGGTTGAGCTGGTTGTTTTCATGGTTGTGGGGGTTGAGCTGGTTGTTGCTGTGGTTGAGGGGGTCGAACTGGTTCCTGTGGTGGTTGAGGGGGTTGAGCTGGTTGTTTTCATGGTTGTGGGGGTTGAGCTGGTTGTTGCTGTGGTTGAGGGGGTCGAGCTGGTTGTTGTTGTTGTTGAGGGGATTGAGCTGGTTCCTGACAAGGTTGATGGGGTCGAGCTGGTTCCTGTTGTGGTTTTGGGGGTCGAACTGTTTCCTGTGGTGGTTGAGGGGGTTGAGATGGTTGTTTTCGTGGTTGTGGGGGTTGAGTTGGTTGTTGCTGTGGTTGAGGGGGTCGAACTGGTTCCTGTGGTGGTTGAGAAGGTTGAGCTGGTTGTTTTCATGATTGTGGGGGTTGAGCTGGTTGTTTTCGTGATTGTGGGGGTTGAGCTGGTTGTTGCTGTGGCTGAGGGGGTGAAGCTGGTTCCTGTCGTGGTTGATGGGGTCGAGCTGGTTCCTGTTGTCGTTTTTGGGGTTGAGCTGGTTCCTGTGGTGGTTGAGGG